GAACAGAGAGCCAACTTTTATTCTTACTTCATACGGAACTTTTTATTGTTCACATTTTATAAAAGTATATATATATACACGTATTTAGGAATCTGAAAGTCAGATACAGCACTTTTTTGTCACATGGTTTAGATGTGTTCAGCAGCAGCCCTTTGATTTCCAGTGAGAACTAAGGGCTTCAAACAGCCAGGGAGGATGAGCTCTTTTCAGTGTTCTCATGCATGTCTGGCAATTCGATCAGTGGAAATTTCACTTGCTGCTCTAACCAGTTGGCAACAGTGAGAAGCTTCTGCTCTTGAAATGCCTGTCCAATGAGCTGGAGGCTGATGGGTAGCCTTGTGCTTGCCAGTGCAACAGGCACAGTCACAGCTGGAAGACCTGAAAGAACAGAAATCAGTGATGAACATGGGGCCTTTAAATTAAGAATATTTAATTCTTAAAACATTATAAAATACCAGCAAGTAAGAGTTTCACCAATGCAAATCTAGTGTAGATTTCATCCTCTGTATGTTTCTACTGTCTTGGGTCTTTTTTACTAGTTATAGGTGTTCAGATGTTATTTCTTTAATATTTTGTATTGGACATGTTAATTAAGCAAAATAAATGAGACAAGTTTTCAGTTTATTATATTTTTTTTTACTGCTTCACCTTCATATAATAAATAATCATGTAAAAATGCATTTTAGACAAACATAGTGTTGTTTGATACCTTTTGATTATAAAGGACTATACGAAAACAGCAAACTCCTTAAAAATCCTTTTCTTTTGTCATTTAAGATAAATGATTACTTCAGTAGCAGTAGAGATCAGGGAATTGACTAGTGACTTGAGTTAAACTTGAACTTCAGCCATATGGTTCATACAGCTTTCTTTTCACTCCATGAGATCACATCTACTATTTGAGCCACTTAGGGGCTCCCGAAGCAGCTTAATAAACCATTTACAATCCATGCTTGTGGCACAGCATTTAATCATAAAACACACCAAGTGGTGTGGACAGAACCAGTCATGGGTCTGTTAAAGTATGTGGATCCACATCTTCAAAAATTGTATTCAGATGTATTACACACCATTTTTGTAAACACTTACTGTATCCAGTGTTAACATTTCTATTACTTTAAAATTAACAAGGTTGTGCATTGTAATCCACAGATTACAGTACCACCCATTTAACAAATGACTCCACTGAAACAGCAAGTGTAGGATTTTAAATGTATGAATAATTCCCCACACTCCTTTCTGCTGCACTGAATAATGTATTTAAATCTGTACCATAAAAACAGCCATTATCATCTGTAATACTTCGGAGTTGAATGTAAAGATGGAAACACCTAGCACTGGAGTACAGCAGGAGGGTGTGTGTCTTTGGGCTTTCCCTGTGCATCAGCAGAGTCAAGCACTGTACAGTACACGCAGACTGTTCGTATTGTATCCCATGCTGCACGCTTTGAGAAAAGCTCTGGTACCCACCTGCCATGTTAACAGGCTGAGTGAAGATGTCCTCCTGTGCACTGCGGGTCCTGTTGTCTTCTTTGGTAAAATCAGTGTAGCGTATAGCTTCTGTCAGAGTAGTGGGGGTCAGCAGCAGGT